AACCCTAAACCCCTACACTCCAGGCCATAAGCCCCAGGCCCTGAGAGGCCCTGTGAGGCCCTGTGAGGTCCTCCACCCACTTCTTCCGACGCTCCATCAGACGATCCCCCCGAGTGCGCTCTCCACCACGGGAGTCCTCAACGCAAGGACTTGGGAATAAAACGGATCACACGACAGTATAGGAATTATTTTATAAATTTTAAACGGTTTCACGTCGCTCTTTTATTGCGGCGCTTGTTCGTGTGTGTTTTTTTGTCTACTGTGTTTCAGCGTATTCGATACGGCTCTAACAGGGTTTACAGTAACAAGAGATGTCTGGCATGTGAGTTCTGCGGTGTTAGCAGGCCTACCTCGGGGCTTATAAAAGGGGTATTGTGGGGGTTGTAGAGTATCAGCATGACTTTGTACGGAGTGAGACTGCCTTCAGAGGGACTGGAATCGGGCTGTAATACAGTTTACATGATTTAAAGCTTTTTGCCAGGATCGTGGGCCTTTGTAAATGCGCTAGAACTACGGCTGCAAGTATTCAAGTTTTCCTGCTCTAGAAGTCGCATAATTAGGTCAGTATTTGGGCAAAGCCCTCAACCGCAACCCATTTAAGGATCGGGCGTAGCGCGCCATGATGGGTTGGCGCTTCTCCGCAGGCCTCGTTGTGGCTGGGATCCCGTATAATTGTTCAGGGTTTAGTTTATGGGGTTTTAGGGTCTCGAATTGCGAGGTGGTACGGCTAAATCAAAACTAGCTGGATATTTGCACCTAGGATTCACAGAACGGTAACTGTTTTCGTGAGTTGCAACCTGAGCATAAATTTCCCATAAATTTCCTCGTGGCTAGACATGACCATTAGGCCGCAACTAGTATAGGGGCCTTAACAACTAGAATAGGGCTTTGGGGTATACTACTTGCTATGACCATGCAGGTTCCAGCAATTCATGCCATCGCTACCCAGACCCCTGGCAGGATCTAGAAAGTAGATCCCTTGAGGGTGCTCATATAAAGAACCCTTTATTAGTATAGGGATCCCAAATTAACTGTTCTACTTTCTAGATCCTCCCAACCCTAAGCCCTAAACCGTAAACCCTAAACCCCCAGACCCCCGGAAGGATCTAGAAAGTAGAACCTCTAATTTTGGACCCTATACTACTAAAGGGTACTCTGTAGGAACCCCTTTAAGGGATCTACTGTTGGGATCCTCCCAACCCTAAACCCCAAACCGTAAACCTCCCGGGGGTCTGGGTATCTATTCCGACGCCTGAAAATTCCCATCGAAGCGGCCTTAACGAGTCGCCACAATCCAGGAACCCAGATTTCTGGGAGGATCCAGAAAGTAGAATCCCTAATTTGGGATCCCTATTGGGTTTGGGGTTTAGGGTCGAGGGCCTATACTCCTGAAAAGCTACCCCAGACCTCCGGAAGGATCTAGAAAGTAGATCCCCTAAGTTGGGATCCATACTCCTAAAGGGCTACGTTGTAGGAACCCCCCCCTTAAGGGATCTACTGTTTCGATCCTCCTAGTCCAGGCAGTTTAGGGATCCTGAACCTATTTCTTATCCAGGGTTTACGGTTTAGGGTTTAGGGTTTAGGGTTTAGGGTTTATGAACCTATTTCTTATCCAGGGAAGGGGCTGGATCAATCCGAGGGTCTCTGCAAGAGGGATCCTTACATGCTTCCTGACGACCCCCCCCTCCCCAATTTATACTTTGTGGGATACTCCTTTCTTGAACCGAGATTTGACTTTCTGCATTCATGTTTGGAGTGTCTGAAAGGTTCAAAAGTCAAAACTTGTGAACAACATTATGCCGATCACAGTCAATGCTGCTGTAGACCCCCGACTATGAAATCCCGACCTTAACACGGGGTCTATTAGGCAAGGCCCTGAACCAAACGAACTTTATTCATCAGGAGCTACAGCTGTTCGCAGGGTCTCCTTGCTGGCAAACATTCTAGTTA